CCCCAAAACCCCAAAACCCCAAAACCCCAAAACCCCAAGGAATATTTTTATAGAGGAATAATAAAACTTGAGCTTATTATCCCCTAATCTCTAAAGCTGCGAAGTTGCCCTTCTGCTCTTCTTCCTCCTTCTGTGAAAGGAGGTAGGATAACCGAAGTCAGAAGGAAGTATGTAGCTACCTGGACCAGGTCCATCGTTGGACACCCTGTGAGTTGAAGCTCTTCTAGCACCCCCGAGAACGGTGGTTCCAGAAGATTTGAACCTTGACAAAAAGTAATGTCCAGTGCCAGTCAGTCCTGTCTTGGGTGTATATTGGCCAGGTCCAGGAATCTCTGCACTTGTCTGAGTCTGATCTTTGAACCTAGTATTTGTAGGAGGCCCAATAGCTCCATTTCAAACGGATTTGAACTTTGAATAGAAATTTCGTCCTGTTCTTGGAAGAGTTGTTAGGTCTTTATAAGCTCCTGGGCCGGGAACTTTGACACTGCTGGGAAGTTCCTTCAATTTTCCTTTTAGTGTGAATTTTCTACCTTTATTCCCAAACGTAGGAACACTCTTATAAGTACCTGGTCCAGGAACATTAGGATCAGAAGCTTTTGTGTTTTGGAATCCCTCTTTTTGGTATACTTTGCTATACGATTTCCAGCTGCATCTGAAACTGTACACTTTCCCTTTCTTTCCTGGCTCAAAATCAGAAGGGATCTTATAAGTTCCAGGAGAAGGAGAGTCATTACCTCTTATTAGTCATGATTTTATCACCATACCCAAAAGTTGTTGACCTCGTTGATCTTGTTGAGGGAAGGTTAAGATACCCTGAGCTCAGACCTCTAGTCATCGTCTGTCCAAATCTATCAGCCTTAGAGAAAGAAAACTGTTGTTTTGCTGTTGATCAGTTCAACGGATTGTTCGATACACTGCCTGATCTCTCTAATATTCTTGACATTTTATTCGTTTTCTGCAAATTATATTAATTTAACGAAAAAAATTCAACATGAATAATTCACTTTGGGGTTTTGGGGTTTTGGGGTTTTGGGGTTTTGGGGTTTTGGGGTTTTGGGG